TTTATATATGCTTCTGTTTTAAAATTTTTTTGTTACATGTTTAAATATATATCATGTAAATAAATTTCTTTTAAATATAAGTAAACTTGATACTTGCTTTTTTACGGATTTTCAAAAAGTGAACAAAAGTTTAAATATATTTTTTAACTGTCTTTTATGATTTTATCAATTTTATTAAAGCTGAATAATTACTCCAAAAATATTGAGTAAAATCCAATTGCTTTTAATATTAACCTGAACTATACAAAAATTAATGAAATAAAACTAATAATCTAACGCCAAGTTGAGGCAAAATGTATTTTATAAAATTAGTATAAATATGGATTGGATGTATGCTGAAATAAATATGTTGATACACGTTAGCTATTATAGTAAATCCATATATTCCTTTGTTTTTTTATAAACAAGTTTCTGCTGGATTACTAATTAAAAAAAAGGTTGGTTTAAATAATAATCTTTATCATAATATATAGGATCCGTATGCAGAATAAGCCCTTTTCGGAATTGCGATATATTTTTCAACTCATAGTTTTTCCGGATATCCAACTTCTATGCCTACAAGTTTGGGTGTAATATTTTAGAGGTTTTAAAAATATTTAAAAAATATATTAATAACATTTAAAAGGTTTAGGTGCGATAGTGACATATTTTGAAGCTCTTCACTCAGTAAAATGAAAAGTTTAAAAAACAAAGAAACGACTCAGCTTAAAGCAAAATTGAGAGTAGAATATATTCCCAATATTTACAAAAACAATTTTACGGAATTTGAAAATTTGACATCGATTTAATGTGCATATAATTTTAGTCATTTTATGGTTAACTTTATCTTTAATGAAGCTAAGAGTTCTCTTAAACTAAGAAGCCAAGAAAAATAAAAGTGAGCTCAACTAAAAAAATGTATAAATAAATTTATATTTCATTATAGAAAGTAAATAAAGATCAAATTGTTAGTAATGATTTATTTACTACTAACCCGTATTACGGGTTGCTTACTGTATAAATTAATTTATATTTTATTAGAGAAAGTAAATAAATATCAAATTGTTAGTAATGATTTAAATACTACTAACCCGTATTACGGGTTGCTTACAGCTAGTTATTAATATTATTGATCTATTTTGTAAACACTTACAATATATTGATCACTCTCAATCAAACAAGAGACTTTTGTATGCTAATTTAGTACAGTAAAACAACAATATATATATATATATATATATATATATATATATATATATATATATATATATATATATATATATATATATATATATATATATATATATATATATATATATATATATATATATATATATATATAGATATACATATATATAATATATATATATATATATATATATATATATATATATATATATATATATATATATATTTTGTTAGATCGACTTAAAGTGGCCTTTTCATTGGTAAAAACTTAACTTAAAGCGGACTTTTACTTAAAGTGGACTTTTTTGAGTCCACTTTACGTTTTTGATTAGTTTTTAGACTAAGTTAAAGCTGTTGAAAAGTTAAGAGCAAGTTTTTCTAATCGGACTATTGCTTCTATAAAGGTTTGCGGATAGGAAGTTTTGTTTTAAAAGCATAATTTTGAGTTTAAGTGTTTGTTATTTTTACCATGTATATTTCGTCACTGTACAAAAAAACACTTAAAGTGGATCTACATTTTGAGACTAGGTTTTGTGTATAAATCTTTACAATATTTAATCGAGTTTTTTAGTTCTATAAGACATCATACACCTTATACTAACCAAACTTAAATGAAATGTTAAATCTTTCTTTCTACAGATATAACATAAAAAATGCAATTAATGAGGTCGCTAACGCATACATTTTGTTCAAAAAAAAAATTTAATATAAGTTAAATTAAAAGAATTTATTAACCAAGGTAAAGTTAAATTTGTTTATCTGTAAGAAAGCAATAAAATAATTTGTAAAACTAAATTTAAAGCAACTCTTACACATTATTTTTACACTTAATTTAAAGTCCATTTAAAGCAAACTTTTCAACATGTTTTGTATAAATCCATTTAAAGCGAAATTTCAAACATATTTTAAATAAGTCCACTTTAAGCGAAGTTTTAAATGTTTTAAATAAGCTCACTTTAATTTAAGTTTTAAACAAATTAAGTAAGTCCATTCCAAGCGAGATTTTAAGCGTTTCAATGTAAATAAATCCAGTTTTAAATGTTTTTAATAAGCTCACTTTAAGCAACATTTTAAACAATTTAAGTAAGTCCATTTTAAGTGACGTTTTAAACGTAAATAAGTCCACTTTAAACGGACTTTTAAACGTTTCAAAATAACACTTTAAACAAAGTTTAAGCATGTTTCAGAAAGCCGATTAAGTAAAAGCGTTGAAAATAAATTATATTTATCAACATAACCAAAAAAATATATGCTAATAATCTTTATTTATCATATAACTAATGCTACAAGAACAATCTATATATTATTTTCAATTCTATTTTTATAACTTAATTACTACGGTTTTAAATATTTGAGTTCAAACTTAAAAAAAACGGGCGGTGTACAGGTATCGTTGACGTCAAAAAACGCTTTAATTTTGTTTAAATTTTAAAAAATTTAACTCCAGACTCCTTAAAATCCTATGTCTTTTTTTATATAAAGTCATGGTATTGCACCGTAATAGTAATAATAATAATAGCAATAACAATAGCAATAATAATATATTATATATATAATAGATATAATAAGATAAAAAAATAATTATAATACAAATTATAGTAATAAAAAAGTATGCTTACAATAATTGCAATAAAAAAAACAATAATAATAACTAATATTATGATGGTAGTTATCACCATAAATGTTTTTTTTTAATTTTTTTTTCCTTAGATTTAGGTTTAAAAAAGTATTTTACCAATTAAAAAAAAATTATTAAGAAAAATTAGCGAAACTTGAAGATATTAACAATATAAAACAGGTTTGTATATACGTGATCTTATGGATTTCGATTTAGATGACAGCCCATACGTTAATATATTGCAAATTTTGAATGCCACAAAGCGTTTTTGCAAACTTAAAAATGATGCCAATGCAGTTTTTTTTCTCATTCATTTCAAATTTTGCTACGTAATTCGATTTTTTAAAAGTATAAACGTCGTTTTGTCAGATACTGGGATTGGCATGAAATAAAATCATGAAACATAACAATTAGTAAAAATGCTTATCTTATTTATACAATATTTCACCAATAAAATATTGCTTTAAATTAAAGCGAAACACATGCTCTACAAACAGGAGTGCTTTTAAATTATTACGAGAGAGGGGTTATTTTTCAAAAGTTACAAAATGTCGAAGAAAAATGTCTTCAAAAATCCAGTTCTACAAACAAGGTTTGTAGAACAGGATTTTTTCAGCTGGGTATATTTTTATAATTAATGTTTATGAGTTAAATTTGATTTTCCTTGTGTATATGTGGAGAAACATTCCCCCCAAGCCGTTAAAAACTGTAATTCAAAATTTATGAAAACTCAAAGTTAAAAATAAAAAAATAATAGTTTTGGATAAAATAAAAAAGCTCTTATAGGTAAATAAAATTAGCTGAGTTCAATCGCACACACGTTTGAATAGGACTGCAGAATCCTCTCTGCTTACTTTACAATTTTGAATAAAAATTTTACTTTTTTTAAACGAAAGCTAAATGAAAGGTAAATAACGTTTGAACTCACTGTTCACGTTAATTAATTGAAAAATTTATTTGGTGCGGATTTTCTCATTGAATTTAAAATAAGGTTTTAGAAACATCAGTATTTTCAGATTTTGAATTATTTTCGAAATTTAACTTGTTAATAAATACATAATTTAATTAAATAAATAATATAATTTAAACAAACAAACAAAAATTTAAATTTTTGTTTCCTTATTTTAATTTTTTAAATAATTTGGTTAAGATTTCTCAACATCTATAACAGAGCGCATATTTTCTGCTGGTGTAAATATACTGTCCTACCAGGTGAAAACATGCCTTGCTCTTTTCTTATAATTTTGCTATTAAACATAATGTTTTATTATCAGAATAATCTAATAATTTCTTCTCTCATCAAATAACTTTGTTAACTGATCTTCAATTAGGGAGGACCGGGGCTAGTTGGCCGCATGGGTAAGAGCCTTTTATCATAAAGCAAAAAAATTACACAGAACTTTCCTAATTCACCATTTTATCATTCACTGTAGTATTGTCAGGATTCGTGCATGCGCATGGGAGATGTTGAGATTTTGTGTTTCTCGGACAAAAACGTAACTTATGGAACATCGGTTTCATTTTACTTTACAAAAAAAAATAATCAGTCAAATGAAAAAAAAAATATTGTAAAAGTTCCAGTCACAATTGGTTTACTAGTTAATATTAAAAAACTTTTTATTAATTTTGGACTTAATAGTACATTAATAATCATTTTTATAGTTTGCGCCAACTTACCCAGTGGTGGTACCCAGTTGGCGCAACTTTTTCTTTTTTTTTTGAGGGCTTGGTAAGGCCTTAAGAATTTTTTTTTTAATGCAGTAGAGTAACAGAGAGTTTTCCGTTTTTGTTTAGAAATTTTAAAAACTTGGAAAAATCTTTAATACTTTTTTTATCCCTTTATTTTCTAAACTGAGAACTAATTTATTGCTCAATAGTGTAAATGAAAATAATCTAAATATTCTTATTTTATGAATGAAATAACACTGCGTTGCAAAGTTGTTTAGTAAGTTTTAATAAATATGTTAATGCATTGTTTTATTGGGTATTTATTTTTAAAATATTGTTTACTACCTTTTTTTAAATTTTATTTTTGTAACTACAACAAAAATTTTATTTGTCAGTTTTATATCTTAGAGATAACCATTTTATGAATAACATTGCATAAGTTTATAACGGTATTAAAAAACTTTATACCTTTTTGAGATCTATTTGAAAACAAAAGCATATTATTAGTGACATGATCTAATGATATAGTTTTTTAAATATTTATATG